GAACAAATATTGTCATGTTGACAGAAAAAACACAACATGCAGGTCAGGGGGAAATTTGTTGAAAGGTTTTAATCTCAACGCAGCGTTAGGTTATAAATCAACATCCAAACATTTTCAACCCATCATCTGAATAGGGGAAGAAAATTATAGAACTTAAAAACCTGTCAAAACACAACTGTTCCCAGGCAGGGAAGGCATTTATCTTGAAGCAGCCAATGGCGACTCTGAGAGCTCCACAGACGCACAGGTTAGGTGTTAGTGTCTGCCACATGTTGGTGGATGCATCATTGTGAGGAAATGCATGAACCTCGAAGCTGGTCAGAGGCTATTAGAAGACAGATTGAGTTAAATACAGAGTAATCTTGGATTCTGTATAAAAATAACAAATGGAGGTTCACATTCCAACATGACAACAATACAAAACATGAACTCAGAGCAGCCATCCAATCAAAGTGAGCTTGAACTATTTTGCAAATGAGAACAGGTCAAAGTTTCCGTCTCTAGACGTGCAAAGCTTGTAGAGACGTCTACAAAGCTGTCATTAGAGCGAAAGCTATTGATGCAAAGAGAATGAACAAAAAGGCAAGTGCACGCTTTAGATTTTTATGTGTATTATTTTTGTTTTTTTTCTTTTGATGGTATATCACATAAGATTCCAATAAACTCTACGAAAGTTTGTGGCTGTGGCAATGCAATACATGCAAACGTTTAAGGGACGTGAATACGACGTCATGGGAGTTCTTGCCGAGCCAGTGTGCAAAGGACTGCTGAAGTGTGACATGGTGATGATTTATTTTAAAAAGGCAAAAACTTGATTAGGCGTGGCACAACCATGGGATTAAACAGAACAAAACAAAACAGAGAATCCAGCCAGGAACTTAAATAGCTGGAGAAACAGGCAACTGATATCTGAGATGGGGTTCCACGTGTGGATTCGTTGGGTTTAATTGGAGAGACACAGGAGCAGAACTGAGACAAAATAGGAATCTAAACGTGAAACCGGCCAGAGAGGAATCTAAGAAAATGAATGCAAATTTGAAAAAAAAAATGAAACATAGCAAAACCTCCCAGACAGCGGAGAAACGAACAAAGAGTAAAAACAAAACCAAGACACTAACTTTGAAAGAACATAACAGGAGTAACGTCAGGGGAAAAAAAATAAAAACAATCCAGGCTCAAGAATAAATTATGAAACTAGGCATAAACAAACTTGACGAGCAAGGAATGAAGGGAACATGTAATAAAACTGGCTGAAATAAAACAGAAAGACAATAACATAACCTAAGGAATATCCTAGAGAAACTATTCAGCAGGAACACAAGAACAAGCTGTGAAAACAGACCTAACATGAACTCTGAAACCTAAATAACCCATCATAAGCGCCACAAGCCAAACACCCAAGAATCGTGACAGGCACTGCATAGAAGAAAATTGAGAAGTTCATCTTTTTACGTCTGGTACATCAGCTGTTCATAGCCTCCTAAAACACAGGTTGTGTTTATTTGTCTTGTAGAGAGCATGACAGCAAAAAAAAGAATTGTGTCATTCACATAACTAAATCAAATAATTGGCCAACTGTCTGAACAGAGGTTATGTTTGGCTAAAATACTCCCGTGGAAGAGTTACATAAAACAAAACACCACTTTTAGGTGACTGAACTGCTCAGTTTTTCTCTGCTTATCTCAGTTTATTGCTGTGAGTCTGGAGTGTAAATTTCTCTTCCCGCGTCTCGCGCAGTCACTCATTATCGCATGCAACAACTTGAGCTTTATGAATTGCATTCCTCAGTATGTGATCATTTGCCGTGTATTTAGATTCATCTCCTCTCTTCAGCCATCATTATCTTTAGCAGCGGCGCAAGTTTTATGTGCATCTCTGAGATGCGTTGGAATCACCTCAGTTTTCTCTGTTTGTCACAGATTGGGCTGCTTTGCATATTTCAAACTGCTCACGGTTGATGTGGCAGAGAGCCGTATAAAAAGGCAGGAGGGTGTGGTTTACCTAAATGCCCTCATTTGATGGCTGAGGAGGGGGGCTGAGAAGGCTTTAATTCAGCGGAAAGTGGTTATTCTATATTTGCTCCAACCAAGCAGCGACTCCACCCTCAACACATCCCACATTAAGTCACAGCAGAGGAGTTTATGAATGCTGAGCCTCTTCTCGCAACAATTTCTTTCTTGATTCTGAAGACCCGGGATCACTTTTTTTTTTTTCTCCTCAAAAATAGCACAACCACTGAGACCAAGACAGTGATTTGTAATTCTGAGTGAAACTGCTGTCAAGCTGTAAAGCTCAACAGAGAATGAATGGATAGACGTTAAATCAAATAAATCATTTTTGGTGTAATAGGAGAAAAAACTGGATCGGAGTTAGAGAAAGACTGCATAAATGCTGCAGTTGTGTATGCGGGTGGGGTCAGGTGGACTGAAATGGCTTAGACCACACTATATGTAAGGATGGGGTAATTACTGGGTTGGGAGATTTAAATAGCCGGGCCACAGTGGTAAACACACTGGCAGTGAGGGCAGCTGCCGCTGCAGCTATTCAACTAGTTTGGTGCTGAAAGCTCAAACATTTGTAAAGCTTTTGTAAAGGATTAAAAGGGAGAATGATTTAAATCCATCGTTTTAGCTGAGGTAAACGTACTGATTTGATTGTAGCTTGATTCTTGTAGTTTGCTCTTGAATCTTTTGATTAAAAACGTACTCAACCGACTCCCGTTTGCAGTGAATGAGCCTCGAAGCATCCACTGGAGGAGGCGTCACATGGTGAGGAAATCCTCCGACTTTGGCGGGCGTCCACAAGGGGACATATTACAAGTCCAAACATGCATAAATGCGTACAGATGATGGCAGCGTTTAGTGGTTTCTCTGTGGCTAATGCCAAGACAAACAGACTAAAAACAGAAAATTATTGGCTCAATTTGTAAAGTAAAACGACAGAGAACACATCCACACCTAGACTGGCAGCAGATTTTAAAGCAACACATGGAACAAAAACTAAAAAAAGACAGGAGGGAGGGGAGTTTTCACAGTTCACATCTTTCCTCACAGCTCATTTATTGTAATAATTTGGTGCAATAAACAGGCCTTTCACTGGCTTTTTTGTTTTACTTTTGCTATTTTGGTTATAATTTTACCTTTGCCACCCACCATCACAGCACAGACATTTGTAGTGCCAAACCTTATGATAATTTGTTTGGATAAAAAAATTATCCAAACAATTTGTGTTTGGGTAATTTTTTTGACCAGATGATGATCATCAAAAAATTAATTATTTCTGCATTTCAATAACAAAAAGTAAAACTAATATTTATGAATTCCTTACACACAGATCAATTTATTCCAAGCATTTATTTGTGCTATTTTTGATGATTGTAGCTTATATCAGAATCCAAATGCCTTTATTGTTATCAGATAGGAGCGCAACAAAATTTTATTTCAATAAAAACCCATCCAGAGAAAGACGACAAACAAACAAGTTTTCACATGACAACCCAAGATTCAGATTCCCAGAAATGCATCAAATCAATAATAATACAGAAATGTTGTGACCAATTCAATCGTAGGGAAAAGTCCTAACTTGAGAGCTGTTTGCCAGAGAGTCAATGACATCCTCCAAATGGAGGCCATTGCTAAAGAGCCTGCAATTCAGGTTGAGTGAAAGGAAAAATGAGTAGTAGAAAAAGGTGCACCTTCAACTGCACCCTCAAAAAATTGTGAAGTGAAGTTCTTTGAAGAATTTAAGGGAATTTCATGAGGTGTAAATTGCAGCTGAAGTCGGAGCTTTAAGAACAACCACAGACGGCTGTATTCAGGATAACTCTGTCCTTGTTTTAACCCTTCCTGATGTCCAGTGTGAAAGCATGCCAGGCTTTCTCCACACTGATGGAGTAATTTATGCAAAAGATGCCCAGATCAAGTATTCAGTACCTATACTGTGCAGTGTGGAGATCTAATTTACAGTTGGCTGACTTTGCTTTAAAAACCCCTTTTTGTTAGTTTCATGTAATTATGAAAATATCTGAAAAACAGAATGTACGGTTTCTCCCATAATCATAAAAAATACACAATCAATGCTAAAAATATTTGAATGTTTTTTAAACTTTTTAATTGAAATCCGTTTTTATTTTCTGATGATTTTCTTATTCAGTGACATACAGCAGCTTGCTGAAAAGATGAGGCTTTATGAACATATCGTTTAATAATCCATCTCAGTCAAATCGTCACCACTTGTTAGTTTATCACAGTCTGAAAAGAATTTAAAAACATTGTTTAGTGGTTCACACCATCCAGCTGGTAGTTCTGTTTTACAACCAACAATCATGAATTAATTTAGTGCTATAAAACAGATTAAGACTTTAATTGATAAAGCAGGGCTTCTGTGGTAATGTGTGCTTTTCTCAGTCAATCGTCCATCAATTACTGATGCAACAAGCTGAAATCTCAGCTTTTCTCACTAAATACTACTCCTACGTGTTGGCAGGAGCTGCAAGTCTGGGAGACAATCTCCAGTTTGAAACACATCCAGTTTACTGTGGTCAGGACTGGAGACTGTTTCCGGATCTGTTTGCAGTTTTTTTTTTTTTTTTTTTTTTTTTTTTTTTTTTTGGTTTTTTTTTTTTTTTTCTTTTTTCCCCCCATTTACAAGAAATAACAATTTGCATTTAATTTAAAAGTCGATTTATTGCAAAAGACAAAAGGCAAGCATCAGCACATAAATAGAGATCAGGGTATTGTGGCCTCTTATCAACACCTGCCAAAAGAGCTGTGTCAACAGAGACCTGTCGAGAAACCTTGCACAATCCTGCAAACCAGCTGCAGTTGGAATGTTAGCTTACAGTAGAGTAGCGACATCTGCTTCAGGTGATCTTTAGCAAACATTTTGAACAGCATATGGCAAAATATTGTCACCTTTCTAAACTTACGGCTTAAGTAATTTCTAATTTAATTAATTAATTAATTAATTATTTTTATTATTTTTTTTTTTTTTTTTTTTGTCAAAAGTGAGTCTTTCCCTAAATCATCTTTTAACAATAAAAAGGGAGAGATTTTTTTGTTTTTGCCAAAACTACGTTTGGCAAAAAAATAAAAATAAAAAAAAGACATAAGCCATTATTTTAGGGAGGTGACAAAATGTTTCCTCAACAAAGTCAAAATACAGATTTGTAAAACAGTAACTTCTGCAAAGGTGCAAAATGAGCAGATTCAGCCAGTATAGACAGAGAAACAAATAGACACATTTTCATGAGAGATTACTTCCCAAAGTCAAAAGATAAACTATTTGCATGGCAAGACACTGCAATACAACACAATTTCAGGTTTGTGTGTCTTTGGTGCAATCATAATTCTTGTTGTTCCTGCAGAAAAAAAAAAACTTCACAAAAAACAATGAGTGGAGGTTCCTGGAAGTGTTTTAGTTAAACTGCTCATTGTTGTTCACAAAGCCACAGCTATAAAATTTTGGTCTTTCAGAACAAAAAACAGACAATGGGGTTGCAGTAGTTGTGAGTGCAAAAAGAGCTAAACTGTATTTTATTGAGCTTTAAAGTTCGGTTATAAATAATGACCTCAAACTATGTTAAATTGTACAAAAGGTATGAAAACAGATCATCTGTTTTACGAGGACTGATCACAATAAATATAATCAATGCAAACAGGTTTTAAAGGAATATTTCAAAATTTTTTGAAGTGAGGTTCTGCAAAGTTATTAGATAAAAACAAAATAAAAAATATAAAAATTAAGTATAAAAATAAATATAGAACAAAGTTCCCTTACTTGTAATGATGTCATATTGCCATAAATTATATGCAGCACCAATAAACAGAAAATTATATGAACTACATGAGCTTTGGAAAGCTAATTGCTAACCAGGGTTACTCATTTTTTATGATCTGATGCTTTTATATTAACCATCAACCATCTACACTTTACAACTTTAACAGCAGTCTCCTGACCGTGAATAATGTCAAGGAAAAGTGCGAACAGAACCTCAATGTAGGCGGAAATGAAACCAGAAGCACAAACAACTGCCAACGTTTGCAATGAGAGGAGGGAACGGAGACGAACATCTGCAGGTCAGAATGATTATTGGTACAATAATGGGACGACTGGTGACATATGCTGTGGAAAAAGCTGAGAGAGAAATCTGAGAGATAATACAACAGAGGGACACTTGAAAGAAGCTAACATGCAAAAAAAAAAAAACAAAAAAAAAACTGAAAACTGGACAAATGCAGGACATAACCAAAAATGAAAATAATGTTATTTACCAAGTTAGAATTTGGCACAAAAAAAAAAAAAAAATAATAATGAAACCTTAGAAACAGAGATAATGAAAATAGGAAGTAAAGAGAAACAGCACAAATGAGTCAGAGTAGGTTTAAAAAAAAGGAACTAAGGCTGACAAAAAGAAATGCAGTAACAAGACAATAATTCCAGCCTTATACATTATATAAAAGACTTAGAATAAACACAAATCTCTGAAGCACAATGACCACAGATGGGATGGTTAACCCATTCACATATCTAAACATTTTCAGTTTTTATATTGTTAAAATGATCTAAAATGTGATCTGTTTGAATGACTCTACCCCATCCCTCTTCCTGCAAACTTACTAATATGACATTAGTCTACTACAGGTAAGGAAACTATCACTGATAATGACTTCATTGAACCTCACTTCAAGAAAATAAAGTAAAAAAAATAATAACTGTCCTTTTTCCTCTATTTGTTCTACTATTGTGATATTTTTTTTTATTTTAAACCCTAAAGACTTTATCTTCAATAAGACTTATAGATTTGTCTGTTAGCATCTTTTCACTGCTCACAAATTTGTACCCAAACAGCTTCAGTGTTGGCCCACAAGCTCTCTGCACAACCTGGGCTATCTTGAATGGCAGACTGAACCTCCATTTCTCTACTTGTTCAGAGGATTTCTTCTGGGTAGAATAAACCCCGCTGGTTTCCTTAGAAACCTGGGTGTTCTTCAGGATCCAGGCTTTCACTTGTGGAGTGAGAGGAATTCCAGAGAATCGAAACATCTCCGTTGCCTTCCTCATGGGAAAACGAGCAATGTCCTCATATCGCACCAACATGTACCGACCACGCAGCCACGGGGGTTGCCTGAGGCCGACTTCCGCAGACATCCGGATATTGTCGCAGTTGCCTTTGAGCTTCTTCACCTCATCCTCATTGAGGGGCTCTTCCCCACCCAGGGCCCACTCCTTCCAGCTCTTATACTTGGCAGCAAACGCAACCATACGCGAGGCCAGCACAGCCCGGGGATCCCGAACCAGCTGGATGAATCTGATGTCAAGACGCGGATCCTCAGTAAGTGGACGGAGATTTTCAAGCTGCCGAACCCTTACAGACTTGATGACCTTGTGATCCTTCTTCAGGCAGGACTCTGATGCCAGGGTCAGGTTCAGGGGCCCACAGCGTCTCGTCTTGCAGCGGTACCGCTCAAAAACACCTTTGACAACAGGGCTGCAGACGGACTCCTCACACAGAAAGCTGCTGGACTCCCGGCGAAAGAGGCTAGTGGTTATGTGGTTCACAGGGAGCGGGTCGATGAAGCTTTCCAGCAGGGAGAAGTCGCACAGAAAAAGCTGCTGGAGAACGTCACGGTACGCCTTGGCCGACGCAGTGGCGTTGGTACCTCCAGTGTCCAACGTCAACATCTTCTCCACATGCCACAGAGGCTCGAATAGGTAAAACATGTTGTCACTTTGCTGGTTGAAAAACTCGCCTACAAACGAGGATCCAGTCCTGGTGGTGGCCAACAGGAGAACATGTTTCCTTCCTTTTCTTGGTACCTCCTGGTGTTCGCTGTAGTTCTCTAGGCGCCGCTTCATCACCTTGAAGTCTTTGCTGAGTGCGGGGAAGGAGACATTGTGCTTCAGTACTAAGTGGGAGAAAGCACCAGGCTGTAGAGGAGTTTGGGGGGTCTGCTTCAGGTTGAGCTTATCTGACACCCTAAAAACATGAAAAAGCATAGTTTTAAAATTTAAAGACAGTTTTGCAGTGCAGTTGCAGTGGTGGAGTTTTAAAGATCTAATTTGCTATAACCTTTGCTGAGGCGTACCTGTTGGCATTTCATATTTACCATTAATCAATTTTTAAGGTAATTTCATAAAGCTTTCTCATTCTTTCTTACTGATTATCTCTTCCTTATAGTGGATATTAACTATTGGAGTCATAAACCTGACTCTAATAATTAATGTCTGCTACAAGGAGGTCTCTCGAAGTCATTTTTGTTTGATCAGAGGCCCTAATCTCTAATATCTCATGAAAGTCAAATGGTCCATATGTTGGTCATGGGGCTAAACTTTTATTCTCCAGAAATATCATGATATCATCAATTGTATCCTGGAATTGAAGTAGACATGAGATTTTAGCATTTCTATTAACATTTGTCTTTGTAATTATGAAAGCTTTCAAGCACAATGACACAAAATATTTAGTTTGCAGACATGAAATGGAAGTAGGATGGGACGAGATGCGAGCACAAATTGGCAAAGAGACAAAACGAGAACATTGGACTCACCTCGAGATGATCCTGTTTTCCTTCTCAATGACAACAAGTGCCACAAAGAAGACAATGGGTATTGTGTATTTGATTCTCATTCTCGGACGCGGCTGTGTCTAGATGTTTTTTTGCTTTTTTTTTTTTTACACTCTGCTTCCAAATGGGTTCTGCCAGTCTTTCAGGTCACCAGCCACCTTCTTAAGGAGCCTTCCAGTTATTTGTGTTCCCAAATGTAGCCAATGTCCCATCCTGTAAAATGAAATCAACATCAATCTCTCAGCATCACATGCTGCACATTTGAAGACAGGCAGTTGTGAAAAACGCCTCTGTGTTTTAGATATGTTTATTTAGTAGGGGGAAGTTGATGCTATCGCGTGGACACAAAAATGCAGTGTGATGCTGAGTCACAAGAACCGTTACACAAAGCCTTTTTACGTTCCAAAGACTCTTGCTTCCCTAATTTTTATAAGTGTGCACAGCCATGTATCTCTCCTTTGCAAAAGAAGAGAGTTTTAGGCATTTACTAAAACACAAAAGCATTTCATATAATAAGGTAAAAAGTAAAAAAAAAAAAAAAACATTGTTAGTCTCAGATATAAGCCAGTCTTTGTTATGAGGAAGTCTTTGTTATCTTTAAGTGCACCAGTGCATTTTAGAAACATGCCCACCCACCATGCCAGACTGAGGGCTGGGGCACATAGAGACACTGTATTTACGAGTCAGTCATGCCTAGAAGTTCTTTTAAAAAACTGAGCAGACAAACAACCGAGTGCAGAGTAAAATATGAGTGACAGGCTGCAATCAAGCACAATCTTTCCAATTAAACTGTTATCCCACTTCTACGAAGCTGCGTGCCAAAAAAACTCACGGGTTGTCGGGTCTTTAAGTGATACTGTCTACCACCCGCAGACGTAGGCAGCAGAGCAGCCTGAAGTCCAAAGCTACAGCTTCTCGTTTTTGGTAACACTGGGAGAATACATTGTGAACAGTGGTCCTCATTGAATGACTTTGAGCAACTAAGCCGTGTAGACTGCACAGGTCCAGATGCTGAGAACTAAAACTGTGCTGTGCTGAAACTGAAAGCGAAGGCCTGGTTGTCACAGCACCATAAATTGTAGAGCTCTACACCTGGAGGCCGCTGGAGACTTTTATAAGTCGTTAGACTGGAGGTGCTTGGTAGTTAAATGAAGAAAAGGGCGGATTTAATAGCAGCTATTTGCTAACATACTGCTCATTTTTGAAAGAATGATACTGGTTTACCTCAAAGATAATTGCAGTGCGTCTTAGATCCCTGACTAATCTTAAGAGTTTAGTGTAATCCTGACAAACAGGGACATGAAGCCATACTGAGGCAGCTTATCTGAACATACAGTTTTGTTTTGCTTTAGTTTTTGTTTTTTCCAATGTAAAAAAAAATTGTCTCAATTTGCAGCCTTTAAAAACACAAAAAAAGTTTTCTTTCAGGACAATCCTTTATGCAGCTCTGCCATCTTCCCAGTCTCAGTGAAAGAAAAGACGCCCCAGAGCATAACACTGCCTTGACCATTTTTCACTGTGTGTGTGCTCAGTGTGACATGCAGTGTATGTTCTGTTGAGTTATTTTTATTTCGTCCACAAAATGATATCTCTTTACCTGTACCATGATTTGTCATTTTTACCTTTATATTTCTATGGATTTTTTTTAAATTATTAATTCTCAAAAAATATATGACTTAAAATTATAATAAATCAGAATGCCCCAAAAGAGGTGAAAAAGCTATATGCACTTGAACGCAACTATATTTCTCGTGAACATCATGCAGTTTAAGGATTCTTCAGTAAAAGAAAATGATCTATAACTATTGCCCATTTTAATTTTGAAAGACATTTGGCTGTTTTTCAATAGGTCTTCCAGGCATGTTGCTGTTTATTTGTCTCAATATTTTGTTCAAATTTGAATTATTCGGGGGCCACTAAAGATTTATAATAAGGCATTTAGCCCTGAAAAATGGCAACAGTGATGCAGATGCTTGCCTACCTTCCTCGCTTTCGTGTATCAACTGCAACACAAACACAGTTAACGAAACAGCCTGAACACGGAGGCAAATTTGAGACGCACCGGCAAACTGCTGCTGTTAATAAACAATGCAACTTGAAACTACCTCCTACATTTTCACGTAAGTGTTTCCAGTCTCTTTTCTGAATTGCGTTGAACTCTGAGTGCCTTCAGGTTCTTGTATTAGCAGAAGCAGCTTTTCATTTCTCACATCCCGCTGCGACCTCTGCCCCGGCCAGTTGCGAGCACAGAAGCAGGTCCAAATGACTGCAGTCTAAACACAGGGAATGGTTGGACGGTGCCTGTGAAATTCTTCGAGTGGGAACAGGAAGTTTTGCAGCTCCAGTAGAGGCAGAGAGAAAGCACTGTTGACGTGGAACAGTATGTAATGAAAAAAGGTGAGCCGTGCAATGAGACGCGCTTTCATCGGAAGGAAAAGTCTGCGCCGTCTTGCACCACTCTGCCGCATGCCACGACCACAAAGGGGTCTTTACATGGGAGTGACTCTGAACCCTGCTTTTGGGGTGAGGCAGCAGAACACAAACTGCTTGGTCATTTACACGTCACACCATCAGTGGCTTAGATCTCGGATGTCGTAACTCGTGCGCAATCGGCCTCGACTGAGAAACGACACTCTTCAGGAGCAAAGTTGTATTACACCTGAGAGAATTTCCAGTTTTATCTCGGCCACTCGTGTGCTAAATGGCAGCACCTGAGCTAAGTAACAGACCAAAAAGACCCAAAGAAGACAGTTATTGACAAACCCTACAAGCTTTTTTGACAGCTTTCTGCAGAGCTAAATGTGCATTTTTATCCACATAATATAATTTCAGGAAGAAAAAAGATATTTCACATCAACAATTCATCAAGTAAATAAGTAGTCAGATGTTTTGTCATTTATATAGTAAATTAGATGTACACCAATTATCTCAGCTTATTGCATCTGCTGTGTAAAAGGGGGGGGGGACACTTGAGCTGACATTCGTGAATATTCACAAGCCACTGAGGCATATGACACGTTTGATCATCTGCTCATAACAAAATCGCTTGTGCACCATTTATCATCTTGTTACAAAATGCCTTTAATAGCTGCCTCTTATTTAATGTAAATCTTATGTGGAGACAAATTAAGCAGCAGTCACCCAAGCCTGTTTTGCATGTGACTGTACTACAACTATGGAATTTGGCTTTGCATACAAATAGGGCCTATTTACAAAGAATGCAAAAAAAATAAATAAATCTTTAGCATGTTTTTCATGATCGTTTCTGATTGGTGATTTGGAAGTCAAATACAGAAAAGTCTGAATTTTTCTCTTCTCCACCAAATGCATGAAAACTGACATGTAGTTTCATGCACTATTGTTTTATTTTGTTTAAGATAAGACTGAAGGACATATGAGTTGAAGGATAAATAGGGATGATCTTTTATTTACACTTTCTTCTCACATGTTAAATTCTGAAAGAACATTGAAAAATTAGTCGCTTATTGGGAAAAAATATACTTCTAATGTTTTTTCTATATATTTTTGAAATAACGCTTCTCTTACTTGAGTAAGATTTCTGAATATTGTATGTTGCTCTGTTTGCTTCAGTGAATGAAGAATAAACATGTTTTGACTAAACACTAAACTGTCTACTGAGTCTGCTGTACCAGGTGAATATATAGTGAACAGTGAATGGCAGCAATAGATTTACTCTCCAATACACATTAGCTTCTTTATGTATTGCTTTTGAAATATTTATGTTAAACAAATTTGATGTGGGAGAGTATTATCTCCTGAAATAATTTCGTATTGTGTTTTCATGCATCGTTTTACATTTTAGCCTTTAAAATATCAGGATTTCACATGGGTTTATGTTGTTGTTTGGATGCACATGTTTTGTCAGTTTCACTGTTTTCTATTCAAATAACATTTTCAGTATTGGAACACAAATTGTCATCACTCACAACTCCACTTTCTGGTGGCGGAAAGTCGTAGTAGCTTAATTTAATAACAGATTTTTATTATTATTATTATTATTATTATTATTATTATTATTATTATTATTATTATTATTATTATTGATGAGAGAACATGCAAATGAATTTTTTTCAGAGATGTGGTACAGCTAGCTGATATAGAAAATTAGAAAAGTTACAGCTTAAAACTGCTATTAGAAAAAGGTTATTATTTTTTGCCACATTTAAGTATCTTGATGAATATTGAGTATATTCCATAGCTTTTGGTATTAACAAATTTTTTGTGCTCAGTAGCCACCAAGATAAACCACCAGTTCTCTGTATATGCACAGGGCATATTTTATGTAATCCTTCCCCACATAAATAAAACTGGAAAGCCTAGCTGTTAAATAAAACCGATAACAGGTAAAGCCATTGGCAAAACTAAAACGATTAGCACAATATTTGCATATGGCTTTCAAAAGATTGGACATCAGACTGGATAAAGAGAATGTGAAAACACTCTTGTTCTTGTTTCATGTCCACAGATTCTCAGTTAGGGATAGCTGTTTGAAATTGACTAAGATATATTCAAACTTTTCTGTCGCTGATTTGGTCGATTTGGGTCGCTGTCTTGCTGGAAGGCTTTCCCTGTCTTTGCAGATTTTATTTTGGGATTGCTCTATAGCTCAATCATCTTTCCACAAACTCAGAGCAGCTTCCCTGTCCATAAAAAAAAAAATACAGGTCATCTCTATGGAGAGCATGGCAAATAGTATTACAACATCTTCTTCCACCTGCTCTGTGGATCTCTGTAGCTTCTAGACCTATTGGCAGCTTCTCCGAATAATGATCGTCGTGCATAACTTGCGTAAGCTTAATAAAGGGTTCGTGTGTCAGTAGGTTTTCGTTTTTGCCTAATTTTATTTCTAGAGTCAAGTGTTAAAAGTTGGGTTATTGCTTTACATCCTAGCCCTGCTTTTCATGATGCAGTTTGTTCACAGATCTCCCTCCATAAAGCATCTGTATTTCTGCAGTGATTAAGATTGGCCACATTTACGAATTACAAAACGATTGGTAGCGCTCGATTTCATCCAGTGGCAAACAAAGTTGAATACAAATGCCACCCACAGTTTCATGAGTGTATTAAACCGTGTGGTTTTTAGTGAGAAAAAGTTGTAGAAACCCCGCAGCAAACTTAAAGCACTTGCATGCACTGATTTATAGAAGCATAAACAACATTACTATTTAGAAAACTAAAGTCTACAGGAGAAACAAGCTCAAGATAAATAAATCTGACTGAATCATCCCCCTAAGTCATGAGGACAAATTAAACCATGTCGTCTTAATAAAAGTCGCATGAGCAAAGTCACAAGTGTCTTATTTGGAGTAACTTTACTGTTTGAGATATATTGTAAACTTTGAACTTGTTCCTGTTCTTCAGCAGGTTGCTGTCAGTAAAGTCAAACTCAAACTTGTTAAGAACCAACCATTATGATGAGCTATGATGTCGGAAGGCGTCCCGCTTTCATTCCACTTGTTCAGCCTCTTCTCAAAGTGCGGCTCGGCAGGGAAACTGATTCCATTGCTTTCAAAATGCGCCTTTAATTCTGCGACAGAAAACGATCCATTCGCAACGAAGAAGCGTTTGGTGGAGTTCCGCTAAGCAAATCACGGGAGTTCAATAAAACCATGTTGATCAGGATGGTGGGGAGAGCATCCTCTGTAAGTGAATGAGAACTCCAGCAGTTGCAACTCACTGATTCGCACTGAATCAACTTTGGCTACAGAGGAGCGGAGCTTCAAGCAGGAGGCGCGCCACCAACGATCCCATGCATTGAACCCACAAATTGATTACTCGTCAAATAAACTTTACACGCACATTCTTATCAGTATTTAGAGGAAAAAAAGTGTAGGTTTGTGGCTTATAACGTGTTTAACATGTAGTTTTGGAATTAAAAATTCAGGGTTTAGCGGTTATCTTTTTGTCTCAGCTAAAGAAGAATGACTCCATCTAGTGGAGAAATGTGTACCCTGCATTATATTGCTTTATTAGTTGCCTAATGAGAGCTTTATGGGGTATATGTCAACACAGCAATTGTTCTAATGTTCTTCTATCTGCTGAGCCTTTTGTGACATTTGTAAATTATGAAGATACAGTGAATACAATATACCGCCACTTGAAGTAGTTTACCCTTTTCTACTATGTCAATTATTTATATTGTTTTTTCATGCTGGTCTTAAAAAATACCCGAATCTGCACATAATGTGTTGACAGAATTTTAAGTAAATCAGATGTTCTGATCAGTAGCTGATCAGTTTTTGATACTTTTTACTCATTCTTGAGTAATTTCTTTGATGATTACTTTTTTATTTTTACTTCAGTAAAAATATGCTACAGCAGTGTTACAGCTAGTAAAATTTCGGGGTACTACATGATGCAACAATCTGATTTCCGTTTCTTTGGATTATATAAACTATTTTACATTTACATTTTATATATATATATATAGACACGAGGTGCTTTTAAAGCGTTTTAGTGTGTTTACATGCTTCTTTATATCATAATCCTACGATTAAAATGCTTAACAATTCGGAACTACAATTGATATTCCGTCGCTCGGTGATGACGTAGAATCCAGAATCTTCCGGAAGGTCTATCAGCTCGTTGCAAAATAGTTACGTCAGAGACTCGCGCATTTCTAACGAGGAAGGTGAACCTCGGACGTTTTTCTGTTTCTCTCGGTAAGAAGCCTTCAGTTTGTGTTTAAGAATTTTTGTCTATGCAAAATATCTTCCTCTGTTTGCTAAGTGACTTATTTAGTTTCATCATTGCAAATCAGGTTAATCTCAGAAATGTTTCAGGCATCCTCTACGCAGTTAAACATTGCTACGTAACGTTAGCTACCTCACTGAATTAAATTACTGGTTCTGCATTTCTTGTTTTTTTTGTGTTTTTTTTTTTATTTAACGGGCAATACCCTTATATAGGTATGTTGCTGTGACAGTTATATCAATTTAGGGTTCGAGAAAACGTTTCCCTTTCTTGGACTCTTTCTAAGTAACTTACTGTTCTAATGTTTTGCGTTTTCAAGTTCTTAAATATACCACAAATCAACTGATTAGATACGTTAGCTTTTGTCTTTGGCCCTGCAAAATGTACCAAGCTTTTAAATTCTCATTTTGTTAACAATTTATCATCGGAAAGCAGCTTTTCTTGTCTTTATTTTTAAAAAATGGTTGTAACATAAAACATTTTGATAAATAATAATAAACTACTGCAAGGCCTTAAATATGTGTTTTTTTTAATTTGTTGTGAGTTTTATTTTAAAGCAAATGGTTCTTAAACACAACAAGCAGGCCTTTGTTGGGGATTGACACAAAACATGTTATGACTGCATCTTATATGTAGAGCACTTTTCATCTGGTTATCTGTAACATAAAGTGTTGTAGAAATGTAATTATTATTTTTTTATTATATTTAAGCAGTTATAGGAAAAAACATCCTAAATATAGAAACTATAAGTTTCCAAAAAAAAAAATGCAAAACATAAATAGTAAGCAATAGTCATTTAAAATTTAAATTCTATGTAATAAATTGCAAAATAGATGAAAAAGCTAGATAAGAATATAAGCTTTGTTAACATTGCTAAATTAATCAAATACATATAAAGTACAAATAAATATTTATGACACTTGTGTACATGTCTGTCTGTGTGTGTGTGTGTGTGTGTGTGTGTGTGTGTGTGTGTTTTCAGGTCACTACAAAGTAGAAGGAAATTGCAGACATGTTGGTGGCGAGGCTAACATGCCTGAGGAGTCTCCCGCTAGTCGGGCTCCGTCCTGTGCTGTCACAGGGCTCCTCAGCCCTGAGAGCGCCCACCCTAAAGGCCTGCCCACCCCTCCTCAGGCCGCAGCAGGTACCGTATAGGTTCTGAACTCTTGGTTAGCAAACATCCATAATCTCTCTAATGTTCCTCTATGTTCAGTTTTATCGATTTGAAGGAAGCATAAGGTGGCACAACACTGTTCCCAGTTGACTTTGTGATCTTTTGTGCATCTTACGTAGGGTTGCACGGTGTATTGAAAATATAGCATCATTGCAATATTGGTGTTTAATATTCATCATTAATTGACCAATTTAAATATACTCAACAGCCTAATGCGTAGTAAACATTCTCAGTCTGTCGTCATGGTGAGCTTTCTCAAAATATTAAAGGATTTGAAAGCCCTATAAACTTCACACATAAGCTTTATTACCTTTATAGGTACAGCAAGTACAGTAAGTTAGGTCTAAGTGATTAAATCTTTGGATATTCTTTGGCTTATTTTGACACTCAATATGTTTGAGTGCAGTTTATTGACTATGACACATTGATTATGTGTACTGGTTAAAATTGGGTTAATAGATTTCATAGATGATAAAATGGAATGTTTTGCTGTTGACTTGTATTGATTTACATGTGAGCTGAAAGTTGATCCTGAAACTTCAGTTAGAAAACGGCATTTACAAGTTTTTGTCAAATTTCTTCCTCCATCCAAAGGGTTATGCCTCAAAGGCCAGATTTGGATTCCGCCGAGCAAAAACCAGCAGGGAGCAGCTGAAGGAAGCAGCTTTTGAACCAGCAACCGACACAGCCATCAAAAGTGATTGCTTTACACAAATATACATATGTATTACTAATCAACACGATATTGTGGCTTTGACAAACTATACATGAAATCGTCTTTTGTGTTGTTTGCCAGTTGACAGCATGGGAAGAATGGTTCTTGCCGGAGGTGCAGTGGTGGGCCTGGGAGCACTTTGCTATTACGGTCTTGGCATGTCCAATGAAATCGGCGCCATTGAGAAATCAATGTGAGTGACGAGGATGCTTACGAGTAGACGCTGCACTTTATTGCATCGCACATTTTCAGTTCTGTTCAGTACTTTCTAAGGCTCGTTTTCCACTTCGTCTAGGATCTGGCCTCAGCATGTGAAGGACAGAATCCACTCCACCTACATGTACTTTGCAGGCAGCATTGGGCTGACGGCCCTGTCGGCTGTAGCTGTTAGCAGGAACCCGGCGCTGATGGGTCTGATGATGAGGGGGTCCTGGATGGTGAGTTTTGTAGCTGCGCTTTGAAGCCTTTTTGTTTGGATATTAAATTAATTTGGGTATCAGTTGTTATTTCTTGTTGAATGCAATGCCTGTTCTTTATTTACCAGGCAATCGGAGCAACTTTTGCAGCAATGATTGGAGCGGGGATGCTGGTTCGATCTATCTCCTATGAGCACAGCCCGATGCCCAAGCATCTGGCTTGGATGCTGCATGCAGGTTTGCTTGCAGACAAAACATGTTTTTTTTAAAGTTGTGACTAAAAGTTTTAGAAATGACAGAATGTCTTTCACAAACTTCATTGCTTTGGTGTTATTAGACACCCACCCATAAATACAAACAAGAGGCCACAGGACTCAAGGTAGCTCTAACCTTTTTAAATCTGGACAGTTGTTTTTCCACACATCCCAGGGAGCCTATAGGCATTTAAGGGAATACCTGCAGTCCAATCCTGGTGCTTCCCACACAATTTAAGTCTGTTTTTGATGTTTTATTTGAACAGGAGTAGTCTGATTTTCAAATTCCCTCAGAATGAGTTAAAATATTAGCTGCCTTGTCTTTAAAATGTTGGTGGTATGCAATTTTTGTGGCAGACTTAAAACAAGGTGCAAATATTGTTTTGTTTTTTTTTTTTGTTTTTTTTGTGACAAAATACATTTTCTTTCGCGATAAACAACTTTGCATTTATTTCTATTTCATTTTAACATTCTTCATAGCAACCTATGCTCAATAAAAATTGCCATCGTTGGGGGGAAAAAAGCAGTAAAGTTGGTGAAAAACAAGATTTTTCACATGCGTTGTAATTTCTGGTATGCAGTTACTTTATTTAAGCACCGGAGGGCAGTAAAGGAAAGGGAAAATCAATAAATGTGATTTTTTTTTTAAACTTTTGAAGTTTAGTTTGTTGTAGGTATAAGCTGGTAAAATAATAGTTCTAATAGCTCTAATCACTTTGAATAAAAGTACTATGGTTTCATTGTACTACTTTATTTTTTTTTAAAAACAGGAAGTAAAAACTTAACATATTATTTGTTGCAGTAATTTTACCTTATATTTTGTATTCTTACCATGTTTCTAAGTAGAATTATAGCATATAATGCTAGCCAGTATTTAAGCTGAATATTATCACTTTGTCCTGTTCTGCACAAATGAAAACCATTCTTTGTTAAAAGGGTATAACAAAACACTCTTAGCTGGTTAATTAGTCAGACTCTGCTCATGTAGACACATCCAAGTTACCTTTTTTTTTTTATGAGAATTTGTTTTGTTGCTGCTGTTTGTAATGTTTATTTGGTTCCTGTATTTGTTGAAAAGGTGTGATGGGTGCTGTCATCGCTCCGCTAACTCTGCTGGGTGGGCCTCTGATGATGAGGGCTGCCTGGTACACTGCAGGCATCGTGGGAGGTCTGTCCACTGTGGCTATGTGCGCTCCAAGTGAGAAGTTCCTCAACATGGGAGGTCCGCTTGCTGTCGGCTTTGGAGTGGTTTTCGCCTCCTCTCTTGGTTAGTACAGTTAAAATGTCTCACTCAGTGATAATGAGTAGAATGGTAACTACAAGTTGGCTGAAGGCTATAAATTATGCAATACATAAAGTGATGCAGTGATTAGTCTTGTTAGCCTTTTTTTTTAAATTCTAGTAGCTTTAATGATCCTTCTTGTTATAATACTGAAAACAAACACATTAACATTTAGCAGTGATGTGCCCAAAGAAAAAAAAAAGTGATATCTAATTAAAAATACAGTTTAAAATGAAATGTAGCTATACATATTAAAACAGTTCCTGCAGCTTCACACTGCCACTCCTACCATGAGTGACTGTAGGGATGGTGTTTTGAGGATTATGTACAATGTTAGTTTTCCACCACACAGCGCTTTGATTGTTCAAGAATGTTAAATTTTGGTTTGATCTAACAAGAGCTCCTGCTTCCATCACATGAGTCGTGACAAAATCAAAACATTCTTTCATAAAAGTCTCATTTCTGGGGTTACCCTTGCACCTGATTCTCCTGCTTGTTCAAAGCAAAGCGACCCTTACGGGTTTTTTTTTAATTTTTTTATTTTTAATTTTCAGGGTCGATGTTTCTGCCACCCACCTCAGCGATTGGAGCAGGCCTGTATTCTGTCGCTGTCTACGGAGGCCTCGTTCTCTTCAGCATGTTCCTCCTCTACGACACACAGAAGGTCATTAAGAGAGCGGAGACACACCCACTGTATGCCGCACAGAAATATGACCCCATAAATGCGTGAGTAATTTCAGTTTTTTTTTTATTTATTATTATTATTATTTTATCTTTTTGCTTTGTTTTGTTTTATTTTTCTGCAATTTCAGTTTGTAATGTGTTGTATGTGCATCTCATGAGTGGATTAACCCCACAGGTGTATGGGGATTTACATGGACACGCTCAACATTTTCATGAGGCTGGTGATGATTCTGGCCAACGGCGGTGGCGGCAAACGGAAGTAGACATCCACTGGAGTTTTACTTTTTTTTTTTTTTTTTTTTTTTTCCTCCACAGAACTAAACAAAGTTTCAAGTCAGCATACAAGTGTTATCCTTTAAATACAAATCTTATGTGGCTGGTAGATGATAACAAAGGCTCTGGAAAAATGTTGAAGAAGGGGATGGGATTCTGAGCTGCATGTTGATACTACAAATCAAGAAGACAAATTTATGTATTTTGATTACACCCTGAGATGGAGCTCTTAATTGAATGTTGAAGGATTGTTTATTCTGTGAGTGCAGGGATCTGGTAAACCACTCAGTCTAACATAGAGGAGCTGTTTTTGTATTATACTTTGTTTTCTATTTATTTTTGCTGACAGACTTAAGCAGAAGTATTGCATGTCGACCAAAGCTCTTCCACATTAGAACAACGGCGTACGCTTCTGATTAAGCATTCACTGTTATGTCACTTCAGTTTCATGGTGAATAGGTGACATTAGTTCATATGTTTATAAATGACACAAAACTACTTCAACACCAATTAAAACAGTTTGAAATAGCTCTTCTGTGAGATGTTTCTGTCTGATTCTTTTCTTTTTTTTTTCTTTCTGGGGTGATTTTATTTCATATTTATAATGTATAAGTTAACATTTTGCATATCCAAGGCACATTACCCTTGTTCTCTTGCCTTATTCTAATAGATTCTACTTGATCTAGTTAAATAGTAATAGAATGATAAAAATGTATTATAATTAACATTTCAGTCATGTAAACACTTGCATTTCTTTTCTGCTAAAACGACATTTCAATCTCAATGAGTTATTTAATCGAGATCACACAATGAAATTGGTCACATTTTAACAGTTTGCTTTACTGTAAAGTAAACTGCTTCATCGTTAAGACATCATAGTCACCAATTGTGAGCAACCAATAAACATTACATTTTATCAAATGCTATCATCAAACTCATGAATACACATCAAATGTTGATCAATTTTCCATTTCCTACTAATTAAAGTAATACAAATAAATGAGAACATATCAATTTATACACAATTTACCTGCAAAATTCTGAAAGTTAAAAGGGTTTTGTACATTATATTTTAAAAACACAGTTGACTTTCTTCTTGCAGTCATTCTAAAAATCCCTGTTTGGAAAGAGACGCATTTACAGTAACGTGTTCACGTTCTTAAAAGTGTTGTAGGACATTTTTAAAGTCTGAAGCCACTGATGACATCCAGCAACCTGCTAACTTCAGGTTTCCAAACAATAAATCTCTGATCTCCTGCGGCTTCCTTCTTTAACTTCCTGCTGAGTAATCTGACAGATAAATACTTGCTGGTTTTACCGTTTTGTCATCCACGCTCTTCGCTTGTTTGTGCCAGACTGATGGACCATCAGGGGTCCACCCTGTAGCCCGTTTCCCCCATAAACAAGTCGGTGTGAAGCAGGCTTAGCCTAGTAATCCTCTTGTCCACCATCTGGCTGCTCCTCTAAAATTAAACCATCAAACCAGGGCACTTGCAGCAGATGCTAACATCTGTAAATATACAGGTGTTGGGAAGAGGCGCGGGCACGTGGAGCGAGCAGCTGCCAAGCTCTTTGCTTTAAACCCGCTCAGATCATGTGAACGATTTGGTACAAATACCAGGCAGGAAAACGACCCTAATGGGAGGGATGAAGAGGGGCGTGATGGATGAGATTGGAGCAGGCTTTTGGTGTGAGGTGATGTGCCATCAACTGGGATGGAAACGTCCATCTGCCAGTCAATTTTTAAATTGATGAATAATGTTTGGTGTGGTTCCAAGGTTATTTTTTATTTTTTTTACAAGCTTAGAGGCTTCAGGATTATCGTGCGTCTATTTGAAGTAAAGCAAGTTTAAAAATCTGAGCAAAGCCAAGACATTTTCTTGTTTACATATTTAGATAAGTCGCTAAAGTACACTGATAATTCCCCACAGCACTGACAAAGTGATTTATTACACACATATTTGTTCATTTGTGCAAACAAATTTTAATGATTCGTCTTACTAAGTTACTTTTTCACATCTTACGTTCTTGTTGACTTGCGCGAAACTGAACTCTTTAATGTGCGTTCCTCTTTGTAACACCAGGCCTTAAATGATCTTGTATTTGATCAAGAAAAATCTAAATGTTAAATACTTTTGGATCAAGAGTTTAATGGTTTCTTGCATGAAACAAAGGTTTAACAATACCGTGTAACATGTAATAATCTCCTGCGATGGTGCATGCATGGACTCTCAAAGAAAATGGGTAATTTTTTTTTCCTGATATATTTCCTATTATCCTCACCGTGTTTCTCCACCTCTTCTGCTTTCTCTACTTACTGACTAATATTCAGCTGGAGACTATTTTTATAGCTGTGAATACAGGAGGTACACACTCTGCACCTCAGCATGAGTCAGTGCAGTTCACACACTTCTCTGAGACGTCACACAACTGTTCACTCGCTCAACACCTTCTTTCAGACAAGGTGCAAAAGTTCTCTCTCTCTCTCTCTCTCTCTCTCTCCTTTCCGGCCAAGGTGAAAAACAGTGTTCAAAAATAAAAAGCGTGACGTTTAACAACTGTCATCAACCACGCATAATGAAAAGCATCATTTTCAGCATGCAACAATTTTTTTTTTTTTTCTTAGTATGTCTTAAGATTATGACTGAGCAATTCCACTTTTTTTTCATTGTTAATTGAACAAATGGAAATTGGGTCATTTACACAAATGCATTTGACTTATTGTCTATAAAACACAAGTGCCATTCAAGATAAAAAATAACAAAAAAATCGGACAGCAAAATGCAACACCGTCTTAACTGTGTAAAGAAACATGGATTTTCGCAGTCTTATTTGTCACACTTTCAGCTTCTTCTACTTTTAACTTTTGCTGTAGATGTGGAAATGTACAGTCACTACTTTAGAGATGTCATTACTTATAAAGTTATGAAATAAAATTAACTTGAATGAATATATATGTTTGTTTTTTAGTCCTGTTTTTATTAGACGGCCCTGTGGTTAGTTTTTCTGTTGTTATTGAAGTCCTTCATTCATGACAGTGGTATGGTGTGGCAAGACAAAAAGCATAAATGTGACATGTTTAACCTCAGTAAACACACAGGTCACTTGAGTTTCTTGGCTCTGGCTCGCAACACGTGAAACCCAGTGCACCTGATGATGCGACTCCCTGTCGCAAAACTGAACAGCACCCTAGAAACTGAGGTAGCAGTAATCACTGATGCAGGCAGCTTATGTACAGATTGTCACGTGTGTGCAGAAGTGTAATTTTCACACCGCAACGTGTGAAACCCCAACTCCCAGCTCTGCATCTGTTGCCTCCCCGGGTAGGTTGGAGCACAAGCAGCGAGGCAGAAGATGCCTGTAAAGAGAAGGGATGCGTCACTGGATTAGTGCCTGAGAATCTGCCCCAGCCTCTCCTCTCTGAGCCTGCTGAGACATCTCCAGAAGGGCACGACACTCACCGCTCGCTTTCCCTCCACCAAGCCTTCCACATGAGCCAGCCAAGCCTTAGCTCCGCGCCAGGATGAAGAAATACAAGAAAACGCATGCGTTCATGTTCCTCCTGCTACTTCACTGCAGTTTGGGTGAGACTGTTGTTTTTCTTTTGCTTGCGTGTGTGTGCGTGTGTGATTGTGTGTGTGTGTGGTTAAGACTTCTTGTCTTGCTCTTATCTGCTTAATCCTCTAGCACAAAGAGGGCATGTCCATCTTACAGTAAACTGTTCAGGCTGCTTGTGTGTTATTTACTTCACCGTATTTTGATATATACATTTGAATTTCAATAATTAAACTTAAATTTGTGCATGGATAAATTATTTCTTATGTTGATTCTGGTAAAATGCTCTTTGATTCTGTTGCACTATGATTCTGGCACATAGGCTCTCCAATAAAACTTTATATATATGGATATATATTCAGCTCTGGGAAAAATGAAGAGCTCACTATGAAGAGCATCCCAATGAAAACCTGATGGTTATTCCACCAAGTATTGATTTCTGAACTTTCCCTGAGTTAAAACATTAGTATTGTTGTTTCTAAATGAACATGAACGTGTTTTCTCTGCATTATTTGAAATCTGAAAGCACTGCATGTTTTTGGTTGTTGTGACCATTTCTCATTTTGTGCAAATGAATACAAAATATTTGCTTGGAATTTCAGAGACATGTTGTCAGTAGTTCATAGAATAAAAGAACTATGTCCATTTTAATCAAATATACACCTATAAAAAGTAAAATCAGAGAAACTGATCATTTCGTCGTGTCTTAATTTTTTTTCCAGAGCTGTGTATTTATACAGAGAGCATAACACACACAGGATATGACTCCATTATTCCCACTCTTGTCTAGGATTTCTGCTGTTTTTAGCGAATGACTGCAGCTGTTCTTAGTCCGTACACACATAGCAGTTATTCATATAGAATACTCATCGATGTTTTGAACATAATCTTGAATAACATCTATATGATTTGTGTTATTTATCTTACTTGTGGAGTGCATGGAATGCCTTTCTTTGCTTATTTTTTTTCCTTCTCAGACGATTTTATTCATCTCTTTTATCTGTCTTGTCATGCAGGGCAATCAGACTATGCTCCATATTTCTATGACAACGGTCCTAGCAGCATAAGTGGGAACATGGCCTTGTTCAGCATCTCTGAGGATACACCTGTTGGTACGTCCACTGTGTTTTTGAATGTTTCCACCTTTTTATGTTAAGATCTGAATAATTTGTGACACATTTTATAATGACGTGTGGCAGAGAAAAACAATTCATTGCACATTGTTTGGTTGTTAAGCCTGAAATTTCTCGAATATGTACCGGCGCTGCGGCTTATCACAGTTATAATGCCTTTAGGATTGTGACGCATGTCGAAGCATCGCAGGAAGAAAACAACACAGTGCCTTGCAAAAGTATTCATACCCCCAATACAAAGTAATGCATAATTATGGAGCTGAGGAAGCTAAGCCACAATTTTCAATCCTGCAAATAAAAATGCAAAAAAATGCATCTGGCAAGCGTTTGTATTGAAATCTTTGGCCTACATACAAGATGTACATGCATCCCTGCCATGAAACATGGCAGTGGTAGCATCAAGCTGTGGGAATTTATTCCTTCTGCAGGGACAGGGCTAATTGGAACAGAAAGCAGCTAAATAAAAATTATTCATCCAGTAGCTGATCTGACTTAACTACTCATAAACTGACTATGAACTTCAAGTCATTCTTTTCCTGCATGTAGCCTTAAATTTGCACCCGCGTTTGGTGGTTGACAGGAACACAGATATACATCCTGAACGGGACAGATCCAGAGGGGGATCCTGTACGATACGGCCTCACATTTGAAAAAGGCTCCACTGAATATTTCAGGGTGGAGCCCAAGTCGGGAAATGTGACTCTAATTCAGGAGCTGGACAGAGAGGTGAGCCTGCTGATGAACACGTTAGATTTTAAAGCAAGCTAGAATCTTTCACCTGAACTTAACAGTAATCCTCTTCTTTCTCCAGAAACAAGGTGAAATCTCAGTGATTGTCAGCATAACAGATGGACGCAACAAAGTAAGTTTGCTGTGTAGATTTTGTTGGCTCGATTATTATTGTTGCTGAACAACTTACATGTCGTGCATTAATTAGAAGAGGTACATGTGTTCTTATATTATGCACAATATTGGCGACTTAAAATAGAAAACAGAGAGTTTTATTTATGTAACGTGTTGTTTCCTCTTAAATCTAATTGGAGAACATAATTTTTAAACCAATTTTCTGAATGCTTTTATTTATTTATGCTCACTCCTTCATATTTTTGTGTAATTCTGATGCAAAGTGAGTGACTGTCAACAACTTAATTTCCCTCCAGTATAGTTGTAGTTTGGATTGTGACTATTTGGCCTAATAGTTTAACCCTGCAAGGTTAAATTATGTTTTTCTTGCTTTCTGAAGTTTATCCCTCTATAACTTTGGCTGTTTATGTCAATTGAAACCAATCTGATTAGAAAATAATACATAACTGAATCCTATCTGTAACGACTGAAGTTTGAAAACATAAAAGTATTTTTCTTTTAATGATTTTCAGACTTACAGACAAGCATTTGTTATTTTTATTGCCGACAGGTTGTTGAGACTGTGAGAGTGTTTGTGACAGACGCCAACGATGAGCCGCCAGAATTTCAAAGTCTGCCTTTTATCACTGATGTTCCAGAGGTAACGTGCTAAATTAATACACAGTTTGTACTGTTGTGTCTGAAACCTGACAATAAAGTTGAGTCTCTTTACCAGGACACTGTTCCGGGAAGCAGCATCTACAGAGTCCATGCTATAGACAAGGACTTGGGTTCAGGAGGCAGCGTTTCATATTATTTACAGGTAAATTTTCAGAATGCTGTTTGTTCAATTTTATTTCTGTTTTTACTTTGGTTCTATATGTAACTCCCTCGTCTTGATCAAGCACATGGCAATAGTGGGAAGACACCACTCTGTTTTAACGGAGAGAACCGCTTGAAAAACCTGCCTCTGCAAGAGCAGCCGATTGAATTGACCAGTTGTGTGTTGGGAGGCTAAGAGACACAAATAATACGGAATCACTAAGCCAGAAATGTTTTGTATGAGTAGGAAAAACAAATAGTAGCAACACTTGCTCTTGTCAGGAGCTTCATTAGAAAAGAGGAATAACTGCATTTAGGAGAACTGACCCAGAAGTACCTTTATGGATGGAAAGACAAAAAGTACACAAACTAAATGGAAGGCTTGACTCTGTCCTGAAACACAGCTACACACAGAGGAACTGAGCCAGGAGTACTTTCTATAGCGAAAACAGTGATTGCTGTTTGTAAAGTACAATCAAACAAATGTTTCCCAAAGGATTTCAAGCCTTTTTATTTTAAAAGCATTGAATCTATTATCTTCACTGCCATATCAATTAGAAAAAGCTCTCGTATTTAAACTGCAGCAGCTTTTATTCGCGCAGGAAGTAACCCAAGAAGACAACGTCGCCACACCTCTCTCAGCACCTCTTCTGAGGAATCCAGCTGAATTTAATGTTGATCGACGACAACTGAGCTCTTTGTGGCTTTCGACCTCCAAATTCTCAAACAGTTAAAGTTGTCCTGACATCTGTGTTTCCAAAACCTTGTTTGGAGTACATTATAACGTTTTTGTTTTTATGTTTTTATTTTACATTTTAGTTTTATGTTTGTTATTGTTTTGTTGTTGTTTTTTTACTTAGTTTAACAGCACGCATCGTCTTTTCGCATACGGTGACGCTAGCAGCTGGTCCAACATTCAGGGTTAGGAACGGAGGTCAAGCTGTCATCATGTTAGCTGTGCTGCCATGTGGATCGGAGGAACCGAGCGATGGGACAGCGACAAAGAGAAAGATTAATCTGATACCAAAGAGAGCAGTCTGGAAATAGCGTTACTTTAGTGGATTAAATTTCAATTACATTTCAGCAAAGCACTGAGAGCTTAATGGGAGCTCAGATCTGGTGTAGGCCCAAATACCGGCAGTGCTGTGTTTGTTATAATTCATGTGTTAAATGTCAAATCAAACTGTCCATGGCTGAAACTGCTGAGAGCAAATGATGTGTCAGCCTTAGCTTGACTGCTTCTCGTTGTTTCTGTCCCAGTAATGGTTTGATTTCTTAAATCTTTAGAGTTCCCCATTTGCCAAGTTCACTATAGATGGACACAGCGGGATCCTCAGAGTGAAGCCTGGCGAGACTTTGGACTACGAGACCACACCAACACATTTTGTCACCGTGGTCGCAAAGGTGAGCAGCTGTTTTCACTGAACCAGCAGCCATTAGAAAGTCATTAGTAATAGAAACATTGCACATTTAAGTCATGTCTTTTTTGAAGTGCATTATACTGCAATACCTAAGCAAAGTCTTGATGACTAAATCAATGTTAAAGCTGCTAAGCTTTAATTAGCTGCTTTGGAAAGTGATGAGAGTTGTTCCTGCCAACAATTCTGTCACTTTCAAGAATACTGTGACAGCTTCTATAGACGTCTATTTTTATTCCTGATGTGAGGTTTTTGTGTATATGACAGGTCATGAATACTCGATGTGTTATAAAGGTCTGATTGATAAACATTAATAAAAATAAAATAAAATACAGCAGTATAATATTTATACCCATATATCTTTATGAGTTTTTACCCATTCGAAATGATTCTGATGAAACCACTAGTTGAAATAAGTTAGTTTAGAACAGGGGTGTCAAACTCAATTTCACCCAGGGCCACTTCAGCATATTGGCCCCCCTCAATGGGC